GACCCTCGTAGACTAAGAGTTAGGATTATGCATGTGATTGGGTCTGGTATCATAGGGTTAGGGTTTGCGACAATTCCCTACATCTCGTATTCTAGGATTTGGGAGAAATCATCTGCCTCTCAAATTGTAGATGTCTATCCTCTATTTTATATGTTAGATATTGTGTTATTTGCTTTGGAGAAATAAAATATTTGTTTTACCCTAATTTCAATGAAAATTCCTTACAAAGTGGCATCACAACGTCGATCTAGAAAAAAGGGAACATAAGAGATCTAGCTCTTATGGAAAGAAAAAGGATCGATCAAAGCTAGCAAGGAAAGGACGATGGAATCGTTTCACTAACAAAGAAAGGGCAACAAGATTGTGGCATGTGATACAGTCACTACTAGAGCTCCCCCGGACGCTGACAATCATGATAAAGTTATGATTAGAGGTAGTTGTAAAGTAGCATATCGGATCACGGTGTACAAAGAAACAAAATCGCGCAACTCAACAAGTTTGGAGGGGCTACTCGCGACATACAAGGGACTGGATGACTGTACCTTGCGAGACAGTAGTGATTCAAGCTAGCTGAGGAAGTCGACATATGAGATCATGACAAACACTACCACGTTTGTGACCTAAGCTCATGGTAGAGTAGCGATTCAAATTATCTCAGAAAATTGTGGCTTAACTTATTCGTAAAAAAAACAGGATTCAAGTCGAGTAATTGCGATCGAATCAAGAAAAACAATCCTGGTTCAAATCAATTTTGGGATCGCAACATACAAGATTTGAAAACGATAATAAATAATGGCAACCAAAAAAATAAATGGAGGAGTGTTTCCAGTCCATGGAAGGGTTGTATGAGTAGAGATTATGTTCCTGGAAGAAATGATTAAGAAGATAATGGTGTCTTGCACAAAATCAGCTCCACTTGTTGCGGAGTCGAGCTACGGCATTGGAAATGGACGCAAGCAACAGCAAATTTGAGGGATTTCGGTCGTATCAGGGGAACATTGCTTCCTTAGGCAGATCTAAAACCACGGGATCGAGCAAAGGGCCTCGAAGGGAACACAAGCTAGCCAAACCCCTGAAATTTGGGGTTTCTCCTATTAGCGTGCGCCCAGACCAGTATCCAAAGTACAAAGGGAGAGTTCAAGAGATTGATCAGAGAGATGAAGGTTGGGATCATATTACTTAGTGTGGGCTCAGTTTCTAGCCCAATCTTGCTAGTGAAGAAATGTGGATTGTGGGGAAGTGAATAAAGAAACAGTAACTAACAAATTTCATGTCCCGGTGATTGATGAGCTACCAAAAAACTTGGTTGGGACTACAGTATCCTCCAAAATTAACTTGAGTTCAGGATACCAATAGATTCAGATGCGCACGAAGGATGTGCACAAGACTGCATTTCAAACTCCTGTGGATCATTATGAATTCCTGATTAAATGGAAATGAAGATCATATGATGACGCTAAATGGAAGCCACTTGGCTTGATTCAGCAGAAGACTTTTTTCTCTCACCTTGATGGTGATGCATCTTTTTTGCGTGGTATTGTTACACTGGTGCCTACTCTAAGGGCAATTTAGTCTTTTTTGTGTCTAAGTGCAATTTAGTCTTTTGTTATTTATTATTGTTTAGTAAAAAAAAATTCCACATAGACATAGGCTTATGGTTTTGTATGAGATTGTGTATTGTATCTTAGAGATAAAGTTTGGGAGAGATTTCCTACCTCTTGAATTGTAGGTTTGTATCCTTTATTTTATATGTTTGAGATTGTAATGTTGTATAGTTTGCTTTTGCAATAATTTATATGAACAATCCTAACATATTGGTGGTTCCTCTTGCTTAGGAGAGAGGTTGAAAAGGGAGAGAAATTGAGTGGGCAATTAAAAAAGATAAGAGCGAGCAAAACAAGAGATAAGAGATTTTGAGATGAGATATCAAGAGAGGAAGAGAGGGCAAGAGAAGATAGGTGGCATCGAAAGAGAGATTTAAAGAGAAAAGACAGAAGAGACTGAACAATGAGAGAGAGACGACATATTGTGAGAGATGATCAGTACTCAAGAGAGGAAGAGAGGAAGAGAGGCTGAGAGTCGTTAATAAGTTGCTACATTTAGGTTGGATGGCTGCAGCAATAAAAAATTAGGGGTTTTAGCTTTTTTATCTAATCAAGGATTTGAATACATGGTTAGGATTGAATGGAGTGATTTATTGTAGCAAACCAAAATAAAGCTTCCTAATTTAAAAAAAAAATTAAACAATTCAAAACCCACACATCAATGACTGCAAAACCCTGAGATTAAATACCAGACGTAAATTAAATGAGTGAATTTTAAAAGATTGGAGGGTGCGGTGCATAGATTTTAAATCTTTTAGCAGACGCCTCATACAAAAGGAGTTTGAGGTTTAAGTTCTGAAGTTTTTTTTTAAAAAAATGCAATTATACATACCATCATTTATAAAAAAGCATGCACCAATGCACTTCATTAAAAATCTTTTATAAGGATATCCATAAGTTACATAGAATAATATAAACTTAACATTTGAACTTTAACATAATCCTATTTTAATTGAAAAACTCGCTGATTAATTTTCCCCATCATATATATCTTTCATAACTACACATACATTGGATACGCATATTTGTTCCTAAATTTATCAAATCAACTGTAATGCTCAATGAATGCAGAGCATCTATTTACAATCTATACTTATAACATATAGTAATAACACAAGAATTGCTTATGTAGGAGATCCTCATAGCATAAAACCAAATTAACTCTTTGAAAAAAATATTTTTTTTTATATAAATATTCTATTAGTTCTCCAACAACTTCATTTATGATTTATAACTTGAATTCCTACATAACTACCATAATCTTCAACATTTTCTTTATAAATAAATATTTGTAACAAACCATTTCACCAAATTGGCATCCTCTTAATTGACATAATTTCATTGAAAAGATTTGCTCACCAAACCAGCGCAGTAGTGCCTATAACCCATTAAAACTTGATAGGTAATCCATAAATATATAATGTTGCACACTAATTCATGTTCTTTTAAGTTAACTCCACTTCAATTCTATCCATAAATATATAATGTTGCACACTAATTCATGTTCAAGTTAACTCCACTTCAGTTCTACGGAACAATCTATGATATATCTTATTATTTTGTCATTCTAATATTCTAAAATAAATTTATTATATAAAATATGTGGATTATAACCAATCTATAGAGTAACATATTATGTCTTTCATTTCATTCGACTTCACGAAAGAAATAACTAGCCTTCAATAAATTCTTCTTCAACAACAAGTGTGTTTGCTCTAAAACTAGCAAAGCCATTTGATATTTTAACAAAATCAATGAAAATTGAATTAATTGAAATGCCACAATTAATATATGTTCCCCTTCAACTCCTACATATAAGGTTAATAATTGCTTTTAGCTCAATTGTGCTGTAAGGTTATTATTTGCTTTTAGCTTAATTGAGCTCTTATGAACCAAGATAAGAATAATTTTATACCATAATTTCACTCAGACAGCTAACTAGAACAAAAATATGTAAAACTTACAAAAGCACTCACGCTCAGTCTACATGCTTTCCAACCATCAATCCCTTAGGGTAAATTTGCTAACCCTGTGTCAAATAAAGAAAAGGAAAATTAAAAGCAAAGTTACGCTTCATTTTACAATAAAATGTATTCTTTTCCACTTTGAGCTTCCGAGCAGTAAGCACCAAGGGGAAATATTCTACTAACCAAACCTAACCTCAATAATGATAATAATAATAATAATTAATCATTTCAAATTCTAGAACATCAATTAAAAATGTCAGAGATATTCATTCTTCAAACGTTGGAAGGGGAAACTACTTAAATCAGTGAGAGTAGTTTTTAATCAACAATTCTAATGGGCAAAAAAATCACAAAGAAATGATGAAACAAGAAGAGGGGGAAACTCTTCTAGCAGAAGTAGCCTTTGTTGCTAATTGAAAGGTCTTGAAATATGACAATAAGGGATAATATAAAGAATAAATTAACCAGACCCTAACAGCAAGGAAATCTTAAGACAGCATAGAAATTTTAAGAAGGCATGGGTGCAGCGCTCTTTTTAAAACCAACGCACAGCCTGGCAGGAAAAGTGTGAAAAGAAGCAGTCTTCTTGTTTTAATGGCAGGAAAAGTGTGAAAAGAAGCAGTCTTCTTGTCTCCACACTTATCCAATCTTCAATCCGCTTTCCAATTTAAATATGCTACCATGAATTATAGTTGTTTGACCTATCTCTGCAACAAAACAGTGACTGTTCAAAACAGTCATACACAAATAATTGGAGTTATTATAGTTGCAGGTTATAAACATTGTTATAAAGGAATTTGATAAGACTTGCAATCAAACTGCAGCCTGGAGGGAGCCATTGACACAAAGAAAACTTAGAAAAAGTGGCTGGGGTAAAGTATCCCAGACATAGTCCTGATTTGTCCACTGGAAAAGAATATTAGAATTTTGATGCCACTGAAAGGTTCAACAAAATTTTGACAACTAATTCTTCCAATTTTTTTGGACTCCAGCGGGTACCAAGATGCAGTATACGAATGTTATTTTTATATTAACCATCAGGGTGATGGCAAAGCATCTCTCATATATAGCCACCAATAAGAAGTCTCTAACAAAAAAAGTAAACATAGTGCCGTCCGATAGAACAAGGTACATACTTAGATCAAACCAGATGCCCAAAGTTCATTCTCAAAGTTTCAAACAAAAAAAGACAAAATTTACCGAAGTGCAACACAGCAACAGTTAAGACTTTCTCTAAAGTTGACCCAGACTTGCAACTAAAAAATTAAAAAAAAAATCACCCTGGTTATATTGAAACCTTTTCATCAAATATACGGAATATAAGCAAACAGGTGTTATAATTTGAACCTTGCATGGTTCAGAAAGTTTCAAAAGAAAGCTTACTACTATGAGTTCTGAAGTCTGAAGCAAAAACAAAATACCAAGTTACCTGGGGTGTCCATGGTGCCGGAGGTACTCTTTCTGCTCCAAGAGGAGAAACACCTGAGCCATGAATTGGGTGAGCGAAAGCAGATCTATCCTCATGCGCACGAGCACCAACATCTTTCTGGAATGGAGGGAGACCACCATACAATCTTGGAGGTGAAGGTTCCCTCCCCATGTACGAACCAAACGGAGGCATCTGATCTAGAAAAGCTGGATGGGTGGAACGGTTCAAAGCAGAGGTTTTATCACGAAAAAGATGACCTCTGAGCCTGGCAGTTATTTGCAAAAGTGCTTCCTGAACAATTCCAAATTCACCAATTACCTGTAAATGACGCAAAGTTTCCAATTTGCAACTCATCATATAACCGAGTTAGTAATTAGAAGAGAAAGCTGAGCAAAAAAGAATTGCATACAGGCAATGCTGCATAAAGCATGCTTTGAGAAAAATAAAAGAGGATATGTTCTGCAAAATATGGTGAATGCACGTTAAAGTAAGGCAATAGAGTGTATCATACTTGAACAATTTCTTCATTTTCTGACAAACCCTTTGGGACCTGATCCTTACTCAAAACACGAATGTAGGCTCCAGAAAGTTTCCTCATTTCTGCTATTATGGAACCACCTTTTCCAAGAAGACAACCTGTTTGATTGGGAGTAACAAGAAGCTTAGCCGTGACACTAAGCCTAGCCGAGACAGTATTGTCTTTACTCTCAGAAGCTGGTATAAAGATTCTATGCAGGACACGAAGAAGTGCATCCTGTGATGGGGATATTCTATCACCTGGGAGCTACATAATGAAAAAGCAACAATAATAAATTAAACAGATATCAAGAAGTTAGATTTATTGTTCATATTATGAAGCCAATCACTAAATCTGAAGTTAATTGTTCAGCATATGCGCAAACCTATCAGAATTACCAGCAGATGAATTGAAAGAAACGAGAAACTGCTGAATCTTACATTTTTTAAGCCACTTTAAGGAGCTTGTACTTTAATCTGTTAAATACATTCTAACATTTAAGCTTAACACTATCACGAGCTGTCAATTATTGAGAATCAGCTTAATAAACCCTTCATCTCAGGATGTTTCCATTGATTGACATTTGTTAACTCTAGTTTAAGCATTGCCTTCTAAAACTCCTAACCCAAGCAGCTGGGCTAACCGCTTTATATTCCCATGTGATTCACAATAACCCTATTTACATTTTAATCGTTGCATCATTTGCTTTCCGATGTACTGGCACATATCACCAAAGTTTAATAATGAGTCTTGTATACTACCAGACTACTCTTAACTATCTCTAATACATAAACTTTGCACTAAATCTTTCATAGTTTTAGAACAAGCCCACTTCACATTTTCATTTTAGCCACATACCTAAGAGGCCATTTGGGATCACTTTTAACTTATTTTTTTATTTTTGTTTTGTTTTGTCTATGTTTTAATTTAAAACAAAACATATTTGGTATCATATAATATGTTTAGTTATTTTATAAACACTCAAAAACAACTTTTAGATCTCTTCAATGTTTCTAAAAATAAGTTAATTTACTTTTTAAAATTAAAAAAAATGTGAAAAATACACTAAAAACATATTTTTAAAATAAAAAAAAAATAAAAAAAAATGTGATCCCAAACAAGCCCTAAGTTTTTGCTAATTTTCACTTTTTCTAAATACTCAAATCCGCAAAACATATCCAAGCTTATTGAAACATCATATTATTCACCTCTAGGTTACATAATATTATTTAACACAAAATACATTATATTATATATCTTTAGTAAAAGGAGGCAAAGGTAACTCAGACTATACATAAGACAATTTGATCATCCACAAATATTACAAGATCAAAATCTAAATCAAGAAAATAAATGTGCCTTTAAGCATTTTTTTGATCAATTATATTCCTCTTACCTTATAAATAGTGCCTCACTACTCAAAAATTTCTCTTCAAAAAACAAAGTATTGCTTATCAAGCCATGTCATCACAAATAACATACAAAACAAAGTACCATATATATATATATATATATGAATAATGAAAGTAAGAGAACATGAAATCCACAATGTTAGGAAAAGAGAACTAGTTTAAAAAAGAAGTAATTCACAATATGATGAGATAAGGAAGGCTGTTCAATTAGTTCATATGTAGTAGCTATATGTGAACCTCAAGCTCAGAGACAATTGAACTACACCCAATAACCAGAGTGAAAGGTTACAAAAGTGCTGAGAAAATAAGCCTAAAAGCAGTACAAAACTAATCTTATATGATGGTGGGCTTGACAAGGATAAACCATGCTATATTAGGAGTTGAAAACAGTTTATTCAAAAAACAAAGGGTTTACAAATGACAGGCAAATAGAAAGAATGGGAACTTTGGATTGGATGGAGAGCAGATATAAGTAGAGAATGAGAGGGCGGTTGATCTGCAAAAAGAAAGTTACAACTTAAAGAAAACTCAGTTATTTCATACATCTCTCTAAGATAATGGAAAGAGATAGGGCACACCGGGTTCACAAAGGGCCACCTTGAAAGCCCACTTTTCCAACTGAAGAAAATTAGACTGTATCCATCAAAATTAGAGGGTTATATATAGGAATAGTATAACCAGACGTAATTGTTGCTAGCCCTGACAAATGAATCATAAAAAAGAGAACAAATGGCCTATAATTATCATAAGCATTTAATGTCTGGTCTAATCTGACAAATGGTGGGATATCAAGGATGAAGATGAACAGCTTGAAGGAATCCTTCAAGATAATATACAAGTTCATTGTTCCAAGTGCCAGCCCGTGATGCCTACCCCATTAAATCTGGGGCAAGTTCGTCATGAAATACTATGGGCAACCAAAAGTACCTCAAAGAACATTATTCAACAGCAACTCGCTCCAATATTTAAGTGATATACTGCAGAAATAGTGCCAGTAAGATCAAGAAAAAAATATAGTGACTGAACTCTGGCATTTGCTTACCATATCGCAGAGCCACTAAAAAATAAGAATTTGTAAATAAGGGGAGATTAATCAAACTCTTGCAATCAATTGTATTGAATTCCAAATATCCATATCAGAACAAGGATCGAAGCAATAAGGTGTTTTTCTCTACATAAATTTTATGGTTTAGTTAAGTATTCAAGCAGCCTCAATAAGGTGTTTTTCTCTACATAAATTTTATGGTTGAGTATTCAAGCAGCCCATCTTGACACCTTTCATAATTTAGTTACTGATTATCATGCAATTCTACATTGTGCAGATTCTCTACCACCCTTTTTTTACTATTATAAAGCAACCAGATCACACTCCCTTCTCTAATAAATCACATGGATCTGTTCATGTGTTATGGAAGTAGAATAAGCCAATGAAGTTAAATGTAAATTCAACTTGGACAATGGTCAACAGATAAAATATCTACGTAAACATAAGAGCTCAAGGATATTTCAATGATCGTACTTCATATCATTAAAGCTCATGCCTTGTGCATTACAATTCAAAGGCTAAAAATGCATCTTGCTCGACTATGAACTTAGTTTAAAGATAACTTTCCACTAATTTCTCATATGCCAAACTCTTGGATGACACTTATTGCTTCTAGCCAGTGCAGAGTCAGCTTTAAGCTTTCTAGCGCTAGGAAAGGTTTAATGAGCAAAAAATTGAAGATAATTAAATGCCCGTTTGACTTGTCATCCCATAAAAGAATACAAAAAGACAACCACACTTTTTTATGCAATTGATTCAAGTCATGTAATATGTTTTTAAACATTCAATGCTTTTGTTTTTCACAGGACATGAGAAACTTTTGCATGTGTATTGACAAACTACGTAGTTAAAAGAGCACCAAAAACAAATGCAACTAATATTAAGAATAAAACCCAAAGTTGTTTCAATGAAATGTTAACATCTTTAGTCTTATTCTACATCGTGTATCATAAAACAGAGTGGAAATCCGATAGTTATTTCTCTTTTAACAAGATATACATTATATAAATGTTACTTTCTCGCATCCAAATATCCAACGGTTATAACTTGACAAGGACAACACGTTTATGAGCATAAATTGATAAGAACATATATTACTGAGAATGATATTCTACTAACACGGTAATGTGAGAGTGGCAAAATGGGTTAAGGGGTTATAGCAAGAAATCTTTTTAAGGTTTTCGTACTATTCCCCTTCTCACCTATGAGCCTTATAAGCGAATCAATGGGCAACACATGCACAAGGCTAAGGCACTGCCAAGGAAAACGTTAATCCTCAAAAAATTTAATCCAAAAAAAAATAATAATAAAACTTGCAACGAGAAACTTCAGAACCAAATGTTGTCCTGGTGAAAAAAACTAACTTTCCACTGTCCCTTCCGAAACAAAAAGCTCAAGGAATCTCCTTTCCAACTTCCCACTTCCTCTCAAAAGCCCTTTCAACCAAACAGCTAAAGTAATCCACCTCACCAACAAGCCATCTCCCAACAAAAAGCAAACAAAGTCATAAAATTAGATAGACATGGGATACTAACAAATAAGTTCTAACAGCATTCATGTTGCTAGCAATTCCCATTTTCCTAAATCTCCAGTTCACCCCCATGATAAATGATGCAGCTGCTTGACACAGGAAAAAATATGATAAAAAAACCAGGCTATAGATTCTTAAATCTCATGAAATCAACTTCTGAAATATAATGACCAGTTTAATGAAGCCTTGATGCCATCTTTGAAAACCTTCTGCAAATACTTCAAACATTTATAACAAACAAAGAAACCCCACACGTAAATGTTGCTGTTTAGTAAACTTAGAAAATAACTATTACGCATAAAGAAAAAAAGAACAATGAAAGTATTACCGCGGGACCAGAAATGACTATAATGCGATTCTCTGTCTCAGCAGATGTCTCCTGGACTTTAATCTCACAGCCAGTTTCATGCTGGAGGTTCCTTACAGTATTACCTCCCTTCCCAATCACACTTCCAACCTTATCAATGGAACACAACAATCGAAAGATAAGAACCTCTGGAGCAACAGGCATCTGTCCTGGTATAGGACCTTCATGAAACTTAGGAAAGGACGAAATGTCAGGAGCATCAAATGGTGCCCTGTTAGAAAAAGGTGGCCCTTGAATGGGCATGTGATAATTTGTTGTGTTAAAAGACTCCGGACGAGGATTAGGAGCATATGGATGTGACGATGATCCAGGAGGATTTTCTCCAGGGAAATCACGATCGCGTGGTGGATTCTCCATGAGATGCTGAGAAACTGATTGGAGAGCTTTCCTTATAGAGACAACGCTTCCAGTGATCTGTACTCCAATGTGATGTACAAATATCACCATTCATTAGAGTTTTCTCATTCAATATATTCATTGTTGAACAATGAAAATGAATATAAAATAGTAATAAAAAAATAGTTGAATCTTCGAAAGACAGTATAATAGCAACAAAGAAACTAACGCTAATAGAAAGGCTCAAATAAGATCCAAAACTATTTTTGCACTCACGCGAAAAAAGGGGGCATTTAAATACATAGCACACAATACTTATGTATTTACATCTCTCACACCTAAACTTTCGAATTTACACACGTAGCACTCAAATGTTTAATATCACATCAAAATAGCACTATTAACATTTTTTAAAAGCAAATTTTCATGCATATGTTTAAAACACCAAAATACTATATATGTAACTATGAAAGTGTAGGAGTAAGATATGTAAATATATAAGAAATGTGTGCTGGGTATGTTTATTTCCCCCAAAAAAAAAAAATCCAGCCCAAAATAATATCAAAGGAAGCCACTATATAAGAATGCCAAGGGAACAAAGGTAGCATATTCAAGCATGCATTGGGATTGAAAAAGCAAATCATTACCTGCACAATTTCATCATGTGGTAATGCGCATAAAGGAAGCTTGTCCCTGGGAAGTATGCGGATATGGGCCCCACTATCAGCCGACATCTGCTTGATCACACTTCCGCCCTTTCCCAAAAGACAGCCAACTTGGTTGGAGAAAACCAGCAATCTTATAGATGGAGGAAGTTTCCCATTAGCCTCATCTGCATCATCATTCTCTTTCTCACCTTCAATTATTCTCTCAAAGATGAGCAGCAAAGCCTTTTGAACTGAAGATGTTGCCTTCATTGACTTTGAATCTTCAGTAATGGAAGAATCCTCCTTTTCTTTGCCATCCTCTGCAGTAGCCTTACCATCCTCACCGCCATCAACATTGCTATCACTATCATCTAGCTTGTTTGGGACATTTCTAAAATCAGAATCTTTTGCAGGACCACTTATAGATACAACTCTCTCATCACAGCCAGAAACAAGTTCTTCAAGTTTTATTCTTGCACCTGTCTCGTGGCGTATTTTTGCAACAATGCCACCTCCTTTACCAATCACACCTCCAGACTTTGAAGAAGGGCACAGCACACGGAAAACTACAGACCCTGGTGGTACTTTGAATTGACTTGGCAGAGAAACAGATGGAGAAGTCTTTTGCCACTTTCTTCCATTTGGCTCATTAGGATGGCGTTCAAAAGGTCTCTTGGAAGATGTAAACGGCAAAGCCATGCTTGAGTTATGTTATGGAAAGTTGGCGGACAATTACCTGTGGTGAAAACAGAGATTTTAAGCAAGAATTAGCCATCAATATTACCCACCACAAAATGATATGTGCAACAAGAGTTGTAAATTGAGTACTTCTCAAAGAAGATAATTAAGGTGGATTAAACTATTAAAATAGGTGAATATTGGCTCTATCTAAAAAATAAGAAAACTACACCTCATCTTGTTTTTTTTTTCCCTTTTTCTTTCTATTTTGGTTAAGAAGCTAAAGCCAATCCTCCATGTGAAATTTTTGGCAGGAAAGAAAACGCATGGGTTCTGTCAAAATGCAGTTATGGTACCAATGGCTGAGAAACTATTTAACAGAAATAATAATGCCAAAAGTGCTAATATAAAACCATTCAAATATGTGCTCAGCCAAACCAGTCAAAATAAACTAAACCAAACAAAATAAGGAGGAGGATCTAATCTTCAAGACCTCCAAAAAAGCAATCCTACCTAACAAAACTTGTTATGAACATTAATTCGAGATTTGCAACAATAAAGACCTTTTGATTCCTTAGAAGTCAGACGTTTGCCCAAAACTTCCAATACGCACGTCGGACATCTAAAATGACGCCAGAAACACCAACAAGCCTCATACAACTACTTCAATTCAAATGGGTTCGCTTTAAGCTAAGTGAAACAAGCAATACAATCAAAATCCGACCAAATAAATTTATGGAATATGTTAACATATTACAAAATCTCAACTCCTACACGTATAGAAGAAATGACAACGAAAAACAGATGTCACAATAACCAGTATCCCTTTCATCGTGACAGAGATACTATAAAATTAATCCTAAACCGAAAGACACAGCAGACTTCATGGCTTGAAACACCAAATAGTCGATAATGTATGAGAGGAAGCCGGCAAGATGAGGAGTGAGAGAAGTAGCCAGAAATAAAATACGGGAATCGCGTGAGAGGATGGAAACAAGTTGAAATGGAGTGTAGAGCGAAGTAGCGTGGAGGCGAAGGAGAAAAGGAGAATTTTACCTTTGTGGAAGATGAGAAAACGATGGAGCAGAAGAACCCCGGATTTGGAAGAGGTTAGGGTTTTGCAGAAGCCCTACAGTTGCAGACTAGTGATTGCCGAACCTTCCGAGCCGTAAAGGCGGATGTACTTATAATTTAGAAAAGGGGCATTTACATATATACGCCCCATTTACATTTCTAACACGTACACTTTATTTTCTATACCTATTATATTATTATCATTTTAATTTTTAAGATATCACATGCTTCTTTCATGCATATTTAAGGCTATAAAAACTAAAATTTAAGTGATATGCATACACCTTACCCATCGAACGATACCGGATAGTGGAAATTAGAGCATCAAACTAAAGAAATATGATAGGAGCCGACTATTAGCAATCAATAGCTCAATCAGAGTCGACCCCCATACGGTGCAGAAGGACTCCATCGGTGAATCACAACTGTAGCCCTGACCACCCAAGCTACTTACAAGGGCATCTAATTGCAACTAACCGACCAACTAATTTTTACTTTTTTAAGTAAACTCGTATCTGACTATTTCACTGTCTACAAGTTGATAGAGGTCAACCTAGGCACAGTTGACAATCCCCGTCCTACTTTTATAAGCAAACTCCTGTCATGCTCTGTGGTCGCTAAAGTCGAGAAATCCTCATAGAGTTTTGAGAATGCCTAGCATGGAGCTAATCCGAGAAGCCTGGTTCAGCTCTTGAAGTGGTCATTCACAGTCTAGCCATTGACCCGAGCGTTGTTCCCATCAAACAACCGCTTCTGAGAATGCGTCTCGAGATAGAGTTGATGGTCATCGAAGAGACCTAAAAGCTTATCGAGGTTGGTTTCATTACAAAATTTCCTACCCTATATGGCTCGCGAACATCATAACCCTTCGCAAGAAGAATGGACGGATATGAGTTTATATCAACTTTTGGGATCTCAATAAGACTTGCCTAAAATATGATTTTTCTCTGCTCATAACAAAAATGATGGCAGATGAAGTTTCATTACATGTGATGTTTTCATTCATTGATGGCTTATCGGGTTACAATCCGATCTGGATGGCCCCAGAGGAAGAATAACAGATGGCGTTCCACACACTGATAGGTATCTTCTGCTACAAGGTCATGCATTTCAGTTTGAAAAACGTTGGGGCAACATACCAACGTGCTATGACACACATCTTCAACGACTTGCTACATCACGAAGTCGAATGTTACATCGAAGACGTAGTAGTTAAGAGTTATTCAAAATAAGATCATCTGTCATATCTAAGTATTGTCTTTGAATTCTTTATAAAATACAATTTGAAGATGAACCCGTTAAAATGCGTATTTTTTGGGAAGTTTCTAGTCTTCATATTTAGAAATAGGGGTATTGAGATTGACCCCAGGAAGATCAAATCCATCATTTTCAGCCTTAGCCAAAAAGGACGTTCGTCTCCACTTAGATAAAGCATGTCAAGACACTTTCGATGATATCAAGTGCTACATGTTGAATACCCTGTATTAGCTGGTCCCATCCCAGGAAACTCCCTTATTTTGTATATCGCCACTCCAAACAAGTCAGTAGAAGCCTTTTTAGTCCAAGTTAGCTAGGATGAGAAAAAGAAGGCTCTATACTACTTTAACGGTGTTTCATCCTAGTTTAATGAAATATCTGCCAATCTAGAAACATTGTTTGGAATTAATATTTTCACTTCAGAAGTTGAGGCATCACATGCTCTTGCATCATATTAATCTGATCTCAAGAGTAAACCGCTAGCAGTATCTGATGACTCACCCCACTCTAGTTGGACGATAGGCGACATGGGTCATGCTCCTGTCACAATTCGACATATTATATGTCCCTGAGCGAGTCAACAAAGGACAAACTCATGCCGATTTTCTTGTGACATATCCTGTCCCAGCTAACTCGTCATTTAATTATGACTTTCCAGATGAGACTTTGTTAGTCATCGACTCCTTTGAATGGGATTTGTACTTCTATGGGGAGTCTTCTTTGGAGGAAGACCCATTTGAGGGTGAAGGTCGGCATCGGATTTATTTTCGTATCGGCCGAGCATAGCATCCTTTGTTATTACTATAGCTTGATAGAACCACGTATGAATAACAAGGTATAATACGAGGCTTGACTCTAGGATTGGAATTAAGCATCCAAATGAACTTCAGAAATATCAAGGTTTTATGGGGATTTGTAGCTCAACATTATCCACGTGTTGGGAACTTATAAAGACCTTAAACCTGCCCTCTTAGCCTATCATAAGAGGGTGATGACAATATTAGAGCACATCCCTTATGTCATGTTGATTATCATTTATCGTTCCATGAAAGGCAAATATAGCGCTCTAGCTAAGATAACAAGGAGATATCGAGTTCTACTGGAGACCCTGTTACTGTAGTTATCCAAGATCGAAGGGTCCTATCATCGGCGTGTCCCGAGCCATAGGGTGCCGCCCTTGCAAGTGATGAAGGTGTGATCCTCTCTACTTGTAACGAGCTATACGATGATTGTCACCAAGCCATCATTACTCAATTGATGAAGGGAATACTCCCTAATGATCGCTCTCTAACTGTTAAAATTTAAAAGACAGTGTTGTTGTATATCATTATGAATGGTACTCTCTACCGATGCTCATATGACCACATGTGGTTACGATGCATTAGGAGGGATGAGATATAAAAAATCTTGATTAAGGTCCATGACAGTCTGTGTGGGTCCCATCAATCAGGCCCCAAGTTAAAAATCAAGATTAAGAGAATTGAATGTTATTGGCCCTCGATGCCCATGATTGCATAGAGTATGTCAAACAGTTTCATCATTGTCATGTATTCAGCCTGATACCTCACCCACCCTCAAATGCATTGCACCACACAATTGCATCATGGCCTATTGAAGCCTGGGTGACCAATATACTAGGGCCCATCGACCCTCATTCCTCTAGAGGACATCGATTCATTCTTACAGAAGCCATCCCCCTGAGGGAGGACACAGTTGAAAATCTGCTGTATTTTTTCAAAAATAATATAGTGTATCAATTTGGTGTACCGCGTCGTATCAATTTTTAATAATAGGTTGGCTTTCATAAACACCAGGATAAATCGATTCGCTCAACACCACGAGATTGATTGACGTTGCTCAACTATATACTATCCAAGAGCCAACGACCTGACTGAAGCATTCAATAAAACTTTGCTCAACCTAATGAAAATGATCCTTCACGCTAACAAAAAGAGCGACATGAGAAGCTTTCATAGGCCTTGTTGGAGTATTGCACTACATATTGTACCCCAACTAGCTCTACCCCTTACGCTTTGACGTTCGGGTCTGAAGCAATCCTTCCCTTGGAAGTTGAAATGTCTTCACTGTGAGTTTTTCTAAGCAACAATGTAAATAGTGATGATAATATCTGACGCAATTGAAGGAGCTTGATAGCCTCTAGTGTCTCAAGCTACAAGTTCAATAAAACCTTGAGCTATACCACGCGCCAAATGGTCAGAGCTCACAACAAGTTGGTGAGTTCAAGGACAACCATGCTTGGAGACTTGGTGTTATTTTTCGTTTCCTCATCGTGTCTCACCATTGAAGGCATGACAAGTTCGAGCCCACATTGGAGGGACCATTCATGATTGACAAAGTCTACAAAGAAGGTGCCTACTTGTTGTTTGATGCAGGTGGGTCTCATGTGATGCTCCCTATCAACGGGCAATACTTGAAGAGATACTATGCTTAGATTCCTTTTGCTTTTCATGTACTCATCATCCTTTAAAAAAAAATTGATGTTCAAAGGTGTTGTACTTTGTAACCCAATTTTTTAGTAATAAAGAAAATGCATTCTCTAATGTCTCTTTGTTACCCAAAAAATTGTTGTGACTACTTTACACATGTTAAAAGGTCGTTTGAGGTACATAATAGTCGCGTGCAAGAGAAGCCTTGCAATTCTCTTAATTTGATTGTCAGTTTGAATTTCAGACAAGGAGAAAGTCCTCTAGGGCGAATTTTCTGACACAATAATTTGATCGTCTATGAGAAATCATTCTCTGACACATTAATTTAACTTTACCAATTCGAATTCTCTGACACAATAATTTGACATCATCTATGGGAAATCATTCTCACCCTTGAACAGTCTGTGAAATCACTAAATGACCAACAAATGTAATATTAGAAGTGACAGAACAACCCGCTCCAATGCTCACCATTCTAAGGGACAATCTTAGATCATGGGACTTCAAGCCTCTACTTTTTCCCTCCCATATAAGAAATATCTTACTAGTGAAGATGCTTCAAGTCTATTTTTGAAAGATTGGGTGTGTGGGATGGAGGAGTACAATAATGAGATTCTTTAGCTCTTGCTAGAAGTTTGACAACTAATATTGGCATAATCACGTGGGGTACATGCCCTGAGATCAATCATCAATGGAGAATTCCTCACTTGAGAATGTCTGTAAGGGAACCCCTCCACATAATGATGGAATTCATTCTTATTTTGAGCCAAGATGGCAAGCACTTTTATATTGCTAGCTCCCTCCATCAATCTCATACAACTTGACCTTACTTGCAACCAGTCGATGCCCAAAAATAACTTGGCACTTCCCTGTCTTACATGATTATGCATTCATTTTGAGCTAGGAGCAATATTTACTACAACCTCAAAAAATCGTTGGTATCAATATTTTGGGCACAATTGTTGTAGGGTAATCTTTTTTTACCTTCCACTGATTATCCAGTTTGTGATAACTAATTACAAGCTGAGGGGGCAGCATTTGCTACATCATCAAGTCCTTCACGTCGATATCCTAGGCAGAGTTAAGGTTGAGTACTTCTCTTGCCTTCAATTTAGACATCAAGTTTATGGGAACTAATTCAAAGGTGGGGGCAACCTTCACTACAATCTTGAAATTCATGTCAACATCTTTTGCATGATTAGAATTAAACAAGCTCCCAGCGTCCAAAACAATATTATTAATAACTATCTCTTTCAAATTTTCTCATAAATATAAAAAATTCTACCAAAATATTTCAAGCTTAGTAATGGTCAAAATATAAACAAACTTTGTCATTTCTGATCAGCGTATAATCAATCTCAAGGAGATTTGATTACACCTATTTCAAACGGGTTAATGACAACAACTTTTTATATGCTTAAAAATACAAGTATTTCATACTCCTGCTAGAAGATTTAATTCCTCAGCAACGACACCAAAAACTTGACAACGGTTATAGATTCGATAAAGATGTATGTATAAAACATTCAATAATGATAAAGTCACACTTATCAACGCAAGTATACGTATCGCTCAAGTCATACATGGCTCTAATGGAGTCCTAGATATCGATCCCACAGAGAGTAATATTAGAGACTACGAACTAAGATTTTAGAAAATCAATAATTAATCACAATAATATAATTTAAATTGCTTATCTGTCACTAATAGACAATTAAAATAAATATGTAATTTTAATAACTATTAAATAACTAATTATACTAATAAAGTTTCTAATGTGAAATTCAATATATAAGAAAACATCATTCTCCTTGTCAAGAAATTAAAGTGAATGGATAAAGTGCATCAGTTCAAATTGGATTGAGCTAAATAGGAGCATACTTATTCTTTAACCTTTGGTCCAGACATAAAGAACATTGATTAATCCTATGCTTAGTTACTGAATCTGCGGCTAGGCTGGGAGGATACCGGCTCTCACTTTGGAGCTCCCACGTTCGCCTTACCTGAGAGCTAACATCTACACTTCAGCACCCAAACGATAGGACCGAATT